CCCGAAGGTTATGTTGGGGTTCCTTGGAACAATGAAAAGTCACTGATCTGGTGACTTCTTCCAGGCCTGAGTTTCTGGCTCTGCTTTGGGGTGAGGGAGTAAGTGAAAGTCTCAAGGGCCTAGCTTCCTCATGCAGCAATTCAGCATTCACGAAACCAGCAGATTTTATGTTCAAGGAAAGCATCATTTTCCTTCACCAGAGGGAACCCACAACTAGAACAGCAGCAGTTTTGTTAGAGCCCTGTCTTCCACCCTCTCGGTCAAATCTTCACCAAGTTCTTTTCCTACACGAAAACGTCCCAGACTGTCAGGTTCTACCCCACCACCCTCTTTCTCGCTAATATGCCTAATTCACACCATGCCATGTGTCTTCCAAAGCTGAGGTGAGGATCCTTCAGACACTTGCAGAGAAAGGAAAGACCTGGGGCGCATTCTCAGCCAGAAACCCTGAAGTCTAGGGTTTCTGTAATGGGGGCAAGAGGAGGTCAGTCTGTTAACCTCTTGGAACCTTCATTTCTTCACTTATAAATGAAATTAGTACTAATACCAGTCTCCTATGGCTGACAGAAGGATTGATTCAAAATGCTGGTTGTATGCATTATTGGGAAAAAAATAACAATTTGTTCAATGTAAGGGAATTGCATAGAATTTTCCTCAAGGTGAGGTAGGTCGCTGGAAAGGAGTGTCCGTGGGAACTAATGCCTCCTTGCTGTGAAGAAGGGTTCCTCTTACAGCTCAGGAATCCTGCCTATTCCAGTCACGTGTTACTGAACAACGTCTTGGTCAGTGATGGGGGGCGATCCCGTGAGCTACACCACCCAGCCGAGGCGGGCAGTGGGCTCGGCCCTCTGAGTTTATGTGAGCACCCACACTGGCGTTCCCACAACAAAATCTCTCAGTGACACGTTACCTCAGTGACACCTGACTATAGAATTGGAACCGTGGAATAACTTTATCCCAGTGTCTTCCTCTTCCTTGTCCACATTAACCTTTATCTCGAATCCTTTATAAGTCCTCAAAAAGCCAGTTTGTTCCTTGAAATGGCAGCCTGACTCCATTGAGGACATGAGCGTACAGATAGACTCATTTATAACTCAGAGTGGCTCAGCTAAAATGTCTGCAGCAAACAGTGAAGAGAGGGGGCCTCTTGGGTTTCCTCAGTGCATCAAAAGCGAAGTATCTGGAAACTTTAAGGTACATAAACAGAAGTCCAAGCAGGTGCTGTGCAACAGTGATCCTCCACTTGGGCACAAGTCTTGGTTCGTAGTAAGAATGAAGTCAAGACTGCAGTGAGCCATAAATTATTGCTTTTCTCTTAACAACTTCCCCAAAGAAAAAAGAAAACATCTTTAATTCTGTTCTCTTTTTCTCTGTAGAAAGAGAATGGATTTTTTTTAAGATAATAAAAAAATGGCTATTATTGAGTCATATTAATTTTAAAATATAGGTTTTAGGTACTAATTTCAGTGTAAATATTTCTGGTCATTGAAAGAAAGCAGGATATCCTTCATATTTCTATTTTTCCTCTTCTATTTAGACCTAAAGGCTGGGAAATTAAAACTTGGGAAGCAGGTATTTCCCACACATTTTTCTGATATGCCATTCATTTTATTTACATTTTCCCAATGCGTTGCTAGTTTTAGGCCATTCTTAATATTGCCTAAGTGAGCCCCAGGTATCACATGTATAATCCAGCAACATCCAGCTTGCCTATTGTTTCTTAGTGTCTTACTGAAGTCCTGTTAAATCAGGGTTGTACAAACAATGCTAGATATCTTTTTCTCCCTTAGGTCCCATTCAGCATGTATTCTGTCCAGCGCTCCTGCAAGATACTCACAGCTTCAGAGAGCATCTGTGTAATGGTGGTCCTCTCCAGAAGCTGGGATTTGCTGCTAGGGCCTCCACTGTTTCTTATCTCTTCCCTAGCCTCACCTTAGATTTTTAAAAAATCTTAAAAATAACAGATACAGCACTGAAGCAATTTTGAAAATATGTAACCATTAGTTTATATTACTCCTTCCTAAAGAATCCAAGTTGCAGCCTTAATAGATACCACCTCATTTAATTACTCTGTTGTGACTAGTGAGTATGCACTGGGAAGAGATTTTAAGGAGCATTCTGTGTGAAAGGTTTAAGGCAAGAGCAAGTTTTAAAGGAGGCACCCACCAGCCCCTCAGGAAGTGGTCGAGAGGGGAGAAGCACGCCCAGAAAAAACCTGGTAGGAGTTCCCTCCTGGTAGAGGTGGAAGCACAACTTGAGGGTTGTTTTAGAGACTGTCCTTGTTCCCTTGGGTGTAGATGCCTGTCACTAGATTTTAAGCACTTTCCTTGAGATTTCCTGGCCTCCTCCTTAGTAATACCAGAGTCCAAGTGGTTCTTCAAAGACACCCCTGTAAATGCCAAGTCTCGATAAAAAAGCTTTTAGTTTTGTCTCTAAGGACTTATCCCCAGTCTAATGATAAAAGCCATGGAAGGCTCTTTTGATTACCTTTGGTGGCACATTTGGAGGTTCTTGGCTTTTGTTTACCACAGGCAATGTGGAGGTCAGTGTTTTTGATTTACTTTGATTCATTTATAATTTGTAATCAGTCAACAAAAATTTGAGTCAGTCAACAAAAAAAATCCTGAGCACCTACTGTGTGCCAGGCACTGTTCTACGCACTTGAGATGCACCAGTGTTAAAGATCATTGCCTTCATGAAGTCTACCCTTAAGTTGGAGGAACAGACCATAATGGTTAACATAATAGAATTACATAGTAAATGATTCTTCTACTGGAGCTGCTCTACCAAAATACCACAGAATTGGTGACTTAAACAACAGAAATTTATTTCTCCCCCTTTTGGAGGCTGGAAGTTCAAGATCAAGCTGTTGGCAGGTAGGGTTTCTCCTGAGACCTTTTCGCTGTGTCTGCACATGGCCTTTTCTCAGTGTGTACACATCCTTGTGTCTCTCTTCTTCCAAGGACAGCAATCATGTTGCATTAGGATCCCATCAGATGACCTCATTTAACTTTAGTGACTTCCTTATCTCCAGGTGCGATCATAAAGGGGATAGGGCTTCAAAACGTAAATTTGGGGGATTGTGCAGAATTCAGTCCATAGCAGTATGGTATGAGGTGATAAATATTTTGGAAAACAAGGAGGATCAGAGTAGGGGGAAGAGATTGAGTGTACTGTGTGTATTTGGGGTGGGGAGTTGCAATTTTGAACTAGGTGATCAGGGCAGACTTTGTTGAGAGGGTGGTATCTTAGGAAGACTTGAAGGTCAAGTTACATCTCAGGGTTGCTATAACTCAAGGACCAGCGGTGGAGGGGTGGGGGGCAGGGGACAGACACAGGTGAGCAGCTCGTGGGCCTGGATTCTAGCCCTGGCTTTTCCTCCTTTTGATAGTCACACTTTCAAATGTCAGTTTAGCCCTCTGAGGTCCAGCTTGCAAATATGCTGGTCTGTGTGAACTTGTGATTCCAGAATGTCCATTCTCAGAGGGACATGCGGTGGACAGACAGGACCTGGTGCTGTGTATTGAATGCGAGCAGGTGGGGAAGGGTGACAGGTGTTTGCTTTGGGGATTTATTTTCATCCTTTTATTTGTTAGGTGAGAAAGGGTTTGAGACTCATTCTAAAAATCATTACTAAGAGCTCAGAACTAGGGTGACCTCTTTCTCTAAAGACCACCTAGTATAACTGACCTCAGGCTCCTACCACCTGGCCCTTTAAAGGGGAACAGGAGGCCAGTGAAGAGTGATGGTGGTGGGGGAGGTTGCTTGCTTCCCTCCTGGTCTGCTGGGGGCAGCAGCTTAGAGGGTGAAGGTCTGGAATGGTGTGGCCACACCACAGAATCCATCCCATAATAGATCACTTAGCTCTGCCCTGACCACACACACCACACCAGCCAACCATGCTAAAAATGGAAAAAGGACAGTAGTGGAAAACTGGTGAAATCTGAATAAAATCTGGAGTTTGGGTCATGCGAATGTGCGTCTCTGGGTTCTGACCAATAACCATGGTTATGTGAATGCGGACATTGGGGTGCTGGGTCAAGTGCAGACAGAATGCTCAGCCGTCTTTGCAACTATGTGGAAATCCAAAATTAGGCCATTTTTATTTATTTTTTATTTTTTTAAAGATTTATTTTTTATTTATACAATAGCTGGGGTACAGGCCAGAGGCGCAGGAGGGTGAGAGGATTCACCAGAGACAGAGCGGGGAGCAGAACAGGCAGACAGACCAAAAGGACTGCTGAAGGGAGCAGCAGGAGAGACAGGGAGGTCTGCCGCGCCATGTGGGTATCTCCCTGGCTGGCCAGGAATCGAACCCGCACTGCAGAGGCTGTGGCCAGCTTCACAGCATTGTGCTCAACCCGCTGCATCACTGGGGAGGCCCCGAGGCCATTTTTAAAGAAAACAATACCTGCATGGGTTCTGCGATGAGTTGGGCTTCAGCCATGATAAGCCCCGGCAGAGGCAGGCCCCACTGTCTGTGAGTCCGTGGCTTGGGCTGTCGCCATCTGGCAAAGGCAGGGGACCTCCAGTTGGCAGCTTTCTTTTGGGCCCATTCTTGGTCACCTGACCCCCTGCCCCAGGCCCCGGGGATTTGCCTTGGTATCGCCTGCGTGGTATGACTCACGTTTGTCTCCCATGATGTAGGAAATTGCCCGCAGGCATTATTTGATACTAGGCCTAGGCAGAGAGGGTGCTGATAGGTCAGGGGACCCAGAGCTTATACACAAAAGACATTCAGGGAACCAGAGAGAACACCCAACACAGGGGAGGTGCCTTCCTAAAGAGGAGAGTGGGAGGCCCACAGAGTCCCGCTCGCGACAGTGGGTTGTCCTTCCTGCCCAGGGCTATTCGTTGCGGGTCGGATGGGCTCGGCCCGGGTCCCTCTGCTGGTAGCACAATGTGATCGTGCGTTTGTGCCCCAGCGGGTATGTGTGGGGCAGCTCAGAGGGGTGCTGCCCTGTGTGTGTGTGTGTCTAATCCTCTTCTTCTCTTGACAGCTGCAAATCAGAAGGAGCCCATGACTCTTAATTTTAAAGTGAAAGAGGAACCTAAGGAAGAAGAGACCCTCGGTGCCCCCCTGCCCCGGCCCAGCTACGTGTTCAGCCCGGAAGCCGAGGTGCCAGCCCCGGGCATCTCTGAGGACACCCTCAAGTCCCAGGAGGCGAAGGGGAACGCGCTCAGGCGGGACATGTCTGTCAAAGCCGCGTCGGAACTGCTCATAAAACTATCAGGTATTTGATTCATTCTGCAATACTCGCCTTGGTGCCCAGTGAAACTGTCCTTTCGTTTGGAAGCCTGCTGGGCTGCCGCCTGCCCGGGTCGTGGCTCCTCTGGCGGCTGCACCGGCATGTCATCGGCGCGGTGGGTTCGGGAGTGACCAGACGACTGGGCTGAACCGCAGGTGGTTTGCAAATGTCAGCCGTGCCCCTCTCTCATCAAGCAGAGCCTGTTTTTTCTGACCAACTGCAAATTGTTGGAAGGCAAGGCTGCCTTCCCAGACGACGTCGGTCGTAATTTTAAATGGGTTCTAATGACATTCAAAGCACTTCTGCTAATTGATCAAAATACCTATTCTTTCCTCCTAGAGGACCTTGCCTTTTTTGTGTGTATTTATACTATATTCCTTAAGAACCATTAAAAATATTTTTCTTAACTTCAGAAGCAGTGGAGATGGCACTTGAAGTAATTACTAATAGAGAAGCCGCGAGATCTTATGAATAGAAAATTTCATAATGGAATGTTACAATAATTAATCTAAGTTCTTAAGATGAATGAATAATTTTTATTAGTATGTAAATGTGGTCCCAGCCCATCAAGTATGGAAAAAATGGGTTATTATTTGAAATTTACATGTGTTGCATTCTTCTCCACCCTGTGCCCTCTATCTGCCCCACCTGCTGTGGAACAGGGGAAAAAAGAATGTCTTTTAAATTCAAAGTATGCCTTTCACAACAGGGTAAGAAAGTCAGATCAAGAATAATCCTACGTTTGCTATTGCCTAGAAGTAGTTTTTAGAAATTGCATTCAAAATGCTAATGTGAATCAAAAGTGTTTTCAGTAACTTGCCGTGCTCGGAGGGGGAAAGCCAGACATGCAGTGGGGGGAGTCCTTCCTGTCATTTCATTAGTGATTCTAACTGCGTTTCTGGTTGACCAGTAGCTTGGAAAGTGAGAAATTAATAATGCTTTGCTTAGAATCACTTATAGCAGAACAGTTGAAATTCCTGTATTTGCCAGTTGGTGGGGTTAAGAATTCTTTCTTTTAATATTAATTCAAAACACACCAGAACTTCAGGGAACATGATTGGTTACAGATAAAACTAATAGAATTATTAAGTCCCTGTTGTAGCGCCGTTTTTCTCAACTTTGCCGTAAATGTGCAGCTTCTTTTATGCAGATGAGAGGCGAGCAAGATTGTGCTGAAAGCTCAAAGCGTTCAAAGGGAACGCTCAAGCCAACATATTTTTGTGTATATGAATCTTCCCTCCCATGTCAGAAGGTCTCGCTGACCTAGTCTGTCTGCTCTTTGCCCGTCAGTTCCTAGAGATCACAGCTCTCGGGTCTGTCCCTCATGGCGTGGCCTTGCACATGACAGTGACTAACTCTTCAGTGGTGACTCCTATCCCCTCCTGCTCGGTAGATTCTAGTGGATAAAATTCCTATCAGAGTTTGCTGTGCTGCCAGGATGATGAGCAGAGAAAGCTGGGATGGCACCAAAAGATAATGCACAAAAATGAGATTTCAAAAAAGACATTCTTTGAGAAAACATTTGCTCTTAATCCGTTTGGATGAGGTGACTTGAGACACTGAAGTATAAAATCATTTCCTAGATAATAATGAGAACCCGCAAATGGAGGGCTGTCGGGAAAGTCATGAAACATTTTTCCTTGAAAACAGGAAAAATACGTCATGGCTTTTCCGACAGCCCACTGGAATAAGGCTGTTAGACAGCTGGGCACGGGGATGGCAGCTGGGGACTGCAGGGCCCGTCTAGACACTTCCCAGGAGTCACAATGAGTCCCTGGGTTATGAGATCCAGCAATCATCCAGCTAGGTGATTTTTCCAGAAGAGCCCTGTGTTGTGGGATAGAAATGAAAACTTGTTTAAAGACTAAGATGGCTTTTGTTGGGTTGTTTTGGGGGTTTTTGTTTTGTTTTGTTTTGTTTTGCCCTCGGATGCAATGGTCTATTGAGAAGTAATCCAGGGCAGTGAAACCCGTTCAGTGAAACCCGATTTGCACTTGGTACGTTGGTCATTCAGACTATGGTCAGATAAACTTTGAAAAAGTTTGTAACTAAGTGCTAAAAATAGGCATGTGACTTAAAAACACGTCTTTTCATTCCTAAGCCACACTAGTAAGAGGACTCACTCACTATTAGTTTTAAAAAGGGCCCACTCTTCATCACTCTCATCGCTCGCTGTCTGTCAGAGCTCTTGGAAGAGGAGGCCAGGGGACAGCTTCCTAAGCTCTTTTCCAAGTCGCCATTTGAGTCATTTCCATGTTCTTGGAAAGACACACGTGTTGAGGCCTCGTCGGTGTTTGCCGAAACCCTCTCTCTGGAGTTGTCTCATCCTCCTGGGCCTGAGTGTAATTCATTTCCCCAAGCACCAGGTGAGTTGGGCTGGGTCAGGAGCTGGCCTGATACCCTGCAACTGAGCTGCAGGCCTCGTTGGGGGGATGGGGTTCCCGCTGGCTTCCTGCCTTGTTGATTTTCATTTATAGTCTTCTGTCACACTGGGGAGGATGTTTTGGAAGAATTGGGTGAAAAAAGTATGATCTATGCTTTGTCATACATTTCTTTCTTTCTTTCTTTCATTTTTGACCCAAGGACTAAGTCGAGGAATAAAAGGATTTTTTTTCTCTCTTCTTTCCTTGAGAGGAGAAGCCAGATATAGGCCCTTTCCATCTTTTTCTTGACTTAACTAAGAGGAAGCTAGTCAACTATTTAAGCTGCTTCCTTCCCAGGTTGAGATTCATTTAACGCCTTAACGATGAATGTTGGGCAGATGGCCCAGTCAAATATCATGGAAACGTCCCTCCGTGGAGAGACTCTGCAGGTATATTGTTTTCCAAATTGACATTTATGTCTTAGAGGAAAAACACAGATGAGTTAGGAACTAGGCTAAAGTTTTCATTAACTGTGGATGTGGGAAAATATGAGTTTTCTTCCTTCCTGTGACTCCAATTAGATTTCCAGTTGTTAATTGGGAAGTCAAGTGCCTGACAGCTGGGCCAAGGCAATTGGTGACCATAAAGAAAGCCACAAACTCTGAGGACGCCAGCGAGGTAGCCAAATAATCAGATCTGTCTGCCGAGAGCACAGTTGTTAAAGATAACTCCCAGAGGTCTCAGATGAGGGAGGCCAAGCTCCTAAAGTTTAATACAGAGGTTGTATCATGTCAGACAGACAAAGAGAACCCAGTCGCTCTTAAATTCCGGCTTGGTAATGTCACCTGGCAAACTTATGAAACAGATGTATGTTACCACACGTGTGACATAATGCCAAAAAGGACACAAAATTTTATTGGCTTCATCTTGGCTATGCTTTCAGAGAAGTTGCTAGACTCAGACATAAAGAAGTACCCTCTTCTCTAATGAGCCACAGGAGATATATATATAAAGTTTATATATTTTAAATATATCACATGTTGTATATATGTTATATGCAGAATATATGTATATACCATGGTAAGTAAACATAGAAATGTATATACCATGGTAAGTAAAATGCTCGTCTGGAATTTGTATTTTTTTTAGATTTCAGTTTTTTTATTGATATGTAGTTGATCTGTAGCACTATATTAGTTTCAGATATACAACACAATGATTTGCTATTTTTATTTCAAAATGGTCGTTGCAATATATCGTGGCTTTCTCTCTTAGCACCTTTCAGATATGCATATGGTATTATTAACTATAGTAACTTTTGTACATTATGTCCCTGTTACTTATTTTAACAGGAAGTGTGTACCTTCTGACTACCTGTCATCCATAGCCTCCCTAATTCCCTACCACCAGTCTAGTCTATCTGTAAGATTGGTTTTTGTTTGGTTGGTTTAGATTCCACATATAAGATCATATGGTATTTGTCTTTCTCTGATTTATTTCACTTAATAACATGCTCTCGAAGTCCATCCATATTGTCACAAATGGCAAAATTCTGTTTTTCATGACTGAATTCCACTGTATACACTTGCCTTAATTTGAAACATGTCTATTGGTTTTCTTATTTCTATGCTCAAAGAAGGAAATGAGTTTCTAGTCTTTTCTGATTTATATTAATTTATCCCTGATTAGGCTTGGAGAGAAATATAATTTATAATTGCCTCTTGTAGAGGAATCTGGCAGGTCCTGGATTTGGAATACACTATGATGTGCACTTAGGAATCGCCTAAGTAAGATAGGACTTCAGGGCCACCCTGGTGGTGCAAGGGGTTAAACACCGCATTATGAAGCAATCCGCAGCCTCTGCAGCCAGGGAGCAACCCACATGGCGAGGCAGACCTCTTCTGTCTCACCCACTGCTCCCCTCAGCAGTGTGTTTTGGTCAGTCTACTTGTTCTGTTCCCCGCTCTGTCTCTGGTGAATCCTCTCACCCCCCACAACTCTGGCCTGTACCCCAGCTCTTGCATACATAAATAAATAAATCTTTTTTTAAAAAAAAAGATAGGACTTCAGCTGTGAGGTATTTAGAAGCAGGTAAACTTGAGAAGGATGAAGTTTTCAGATGAATTTAATCTCTGAGGTGCCGAAGCAGAGGAAAGAGACCTGAGATTGACTTTATGACCAGTCTTAGTGATGTTGCCAACAGTTTTTGGTTGTAAATAAATCCTCTTCAGTCTGTTGAGGCAAGAAAGGGAATTTAATAAAAGACTCAGACTTGGAGCTGGCTGATGGAATCCGAGCACAGGGATACAGCAGGGCCTCTTTCCTCAACCACAGCAGGGACTGGAGGGCCCCGGAAGCCCTGCTTCTCTCTCTGCTCGTCGAGATAGGCTTTTTCTTTTACCTCATCCACATGGGAGAAAGTGCAGTTGCTAACAACTTCTGAGTTGACCTCTTTTTCAAATTGACATTTCTAAACAGGAATGTCTTAGCTCCAATTCCCAATTCTAGCCATGCTCCTATGGGTAACCTTCAGTGGAAACCTCTGTACCTCGGGCTAGGGCCTGATGGGCAGACATGGCTGTTCTCACGCAAGATTGCTGGGGGTGGGGAGGCAGGCATCTG